CCCATTTATACCATCCCTAATGCCATATGGACTGAATTACTGTTTATCATGAACCACCAATAATTCTAACAAACGTCTTAGACGTGGAAAAATGGATTAGAGTATATTGAACAGTACAGTACAACTTATTGCAAAACTAAGAATGCTTGGAAAGCTTTGGTAATTAGGGTAAGACTTTCGTAGGGAAAACTGTTGGTTAGGGACTGTGAAAATATTCCGAAAGTGTTCTGAACGCCCGTAGTCTTAGAAATAAAACGTCCGAGCTAAGTCTGATGGTGCGAGAATTATGTCCCGATATAATCGTTGTTACAGAAACTTGGTTCACCGTTGATATAGACTGTTCTCCTTTCATTGCTGGTTATATCTGTATCAGAAGTGATAGAGTTTTAAGTCGCAAAGGGTGAGGTATAATATTATACGTTAGGGATCACTTTCGTATACAATCAACCATATCGGAGGCTCATATCAGTGGCACATGTGAGGTTGCATGTTGTAAGATTAAATCTAGGAATGGGTTAGTGACTATAGGGGGAATATACCGTAGTCCGTCTTGTCTTGCTGACGGCTTTATCTTAAGACATATCTGTTCTTGGAGTATGGCAGAATGTTGTCTCATCATTGGGGATTTCAACGCACCGCATATCAACTAGACAGAGCTTACAGCTCCAGGTAGTAGTTTCGATAGCGACCTTTTATCTAACGTTATTCAGTGTGCACTTGTACAATGTATCACAAAACCGACACATATTGATTTGCAACATGATCCGTCACTGCTGAACCTCGCCCTCACCCACCACTGTAAGGATGTCTTTATCCAGCACCTTCCCCCACTAGTGAACAGTGATCACGTTGTAATTCACTTTAAGTTTAGAACACATGGTATACGATTTGTATCTGCTCCACCCCGTCCCAATATCTGGCGAGCTAATATTCCGGAAATCAGAAACTGTGCTATCTCGACTGATTGGTCGGTCGACGCGGATGGATTGATCGAAGATGAATGGAATAAGTTTAAGGCTACATTCGAGTCCGTAACGTCGCCGTTCATCCCATGTTCAGCACGTAAGCTATCACATTGCCCTCCATGGATTAATAAGGAAACCCGGATGCTGTTAAAGCGTAGGAAACATTTATGGGACTTATTCTTGTTGACAGGTCATGCACCATTTAAGCGTGAGTACCAAAAATTCCGTAATATCTGTAAGAAAACCATAGCCGAATCCCGTACCACTTACGAACGACAGTTAGTATATGATAGTCGTACTTGTCCGAAACGATTGTTTTCGTATGTTAAACGGCAAATGAAACGTAGTGATGGTATTCCCCCGTTACATTTACACGAAAATTCAGAATTACTAGCTGAATCAGATCGAGCAAAAGCTGAGACTTTTTCAAACTATTTTAGCGAAGTCTTTTCTACGTTTATTGTAACAAATACTTGTCCCACTCACACCGAGATACCAACCATGGAATCTGTACAGGTTACTGAGGAAACTGTCCTTCCGTTGATGACTAACCTCAAACCTGGTAAGACACCGGGCCCTGACGGGTTACATCCACGGTTGCTGTCATCTCTTGCGGACATTATTTCCAAACCGCTCGCGAAACTCTTCAACATGTCCCTTTCACTCGCTCAACTCCCTAGAGATTGGAAGGACGCTATAGCCAGTCCTATATTCAAGGACGGTCAGAGACATATAGTATCTAACTACCGGCCTGTCAGTCTAACTAGTATAGTCGTTAAGTTACTTGAAAAGATAAGTCGGGTTAGGTTGCTAAGCCACATAGATTTACACAATCTGTTAGCTCCTGAGCAACACGGATTTCGTAACAAGCGGTCATGCTTGACTAACTTGCTTATTGCGAGGGAGGATTGGACAGCAGCCCTAGATCACGGTCTGTCTGTCGACGTGATATTCATAGATTTTAGCAAAGCATTTGACAAGGATTCACACGTAGGTCTTATGCAGAAGCTCACGAGCTTCGGAATAATAGGTACTGTACATGAGTGGATAGGAAATTTCTTATGTGACCTCAGACAGAGAGTGAGGGTCAACGGAACGCTATCCGATTGGAAGCCGGTCAAAAGTGGTGTACCCCAAGGCACCATCTTAGGCCCCCTGCTCTTCCTTCTCTACGTTAATGAGTTACCGCTGTTGCTTAGGTCGTCGACATTATTGTTTGCGGATGATGTAAAAATCTGGAGAACAATAAAAAGTGCGGCTGATCATCTGGATCTTCAAACTGACTTAGACGATTTAGTTAGATGGGCTCGAGAGTGGGGCTTAGAAATCAATGCTAGGAAGAGTGTACTAATGCACGTCGGTCACGGTAATAGTTACCGTTACACTATTGAGGGTAAACCTCTTCCATGCGTTCAAGAGCATAAGGACTTAGGAGTAGTATTAAGTCATGACTTAAAAACAACTGCGCATTGCAAAGCAGCCGCTGTCAAAGGTTTTCGTGCGTTATGGTCACTTCGCCGAGCGTTCAAATCTTTTGACGAGGAGACGTTTCGAATTTTATATCCAATATATGTTAGACCATATTTAGGGTACTGTATCCAAGCAGCTAGCCCGTGTCTGGTAAAGGATACTAACTCCCTTGAGCGTGTCCAGCGTGTGGGAACAAAATTAGTGAAGGGTCCTTCTAGACTCCCTTACGATGAGAGTTTAAAACGCCTAAATCTTTTCCCCTTGTCGTATCGTAGGACACGAGGTGACCTTATACTGGCATTTCGTATCTTTAATTATGATTTGGGTGTTAATACGTCTTATCTTTTTGCTCCCTCCAGCACTAATAATCTCCGAGGTCATAGCAAGAATGCTCATAAACCACGATCTAATAAACTTAAAGTGGGATCCCGTTTTTCTCATCGAGTAGTCAGTCATTGGAACGCCTTACCCGAACAACTGGTATCAGCCACATCAGTGAATACTTTCAAGGAAAAGCTGGACCTTCACTGGAAAGCAATGTGTGAGGATTAATACAGGTTCACCAACCTACTATCCTTATTACTGAAGACTGAAGACTGAATGATCATGGTATTAATATAACTAATCTTTTCCTTGAGTCTAGGGTAGATCATTTGAGAGATTATTTCAGGAAATTTCAACTACCGAAATTAAATTGTTGACATGTGGAGTTCGGTTACTCGCACCGAGTGTTGATCTACTGGAGTTCTATGCCATAACACGTGATATCAGAACCTTCTGATGAGACATTTGAAAGTGATTGAACCTTCTCAGTATTAAAAATCTTAAAGATCAAAATAGGTCGATTGATTTCTTTTTCTCACCACTGAAATGTGACCCATGTGACGACACAATGTAGTTGGATGCTGAGCTCTACGCGCGGGCAACTCCAATGTTTACGACACGTTCGGGTGTTTGTTAATCTTGAAGAAACTGGAGTGTGATTTTGTCAAAACGGTTGTTATGATATTTTTCGCTTAATGATCGTTTTCCTGCATGTATGAGGCTTCTTAAATGTCGTCAAATCTTGTAGGAAGATTTTTCGTAGTTCTTAAATATGTTTTATCCCATCGCTTAATTGACACGAGCCTTGTTGAACTCATTTATTCATGCAAATATCCGGATTTCTGCCAAAATTTTGGTGGCTCATCATTTTTGTCCCTTGTTTGTCCTACGATTGCGGAATAGATATTTGATGTGCCAGACGTCTGAAAATAGTCCATGGAGTTTCTACTTAGTGCTCCGTGTTCATGGTTAGTTTCATTGTGGAAAGGAAAGCCGAAAGTTGATCTTTCTGTGTGTAATATCCAGTTCACCATGCAGGTGAAGAGTGGAAATTTTTTAGTAAATTTAAGTGAAGAGTAGACCGACTTAGATTCCTAGACATTTCCTCTCTAGAAAGACAATTAGAGGGAAGGTCTCGCTATTTCCTTTCGTCAGGCGAATAGACAGATATTTTGAGGCGTTGTTCCTTTACCCCTTATTTTTTAAAGTTATATCTCTTTCGCTTTCCCCGTGTTGGGTTTGTTCCATTTTTTGTTGGCTAGGTTCGTATGTTCACCATGAAGCATTTGGTAAAACTCTAGTGGTAAGACTATAATTTATGGACGACCAAAGAGTCAGATTTAAGGTGGTCACCCTTGAATTTTGTCGTTCGTGAGCTTCATTTTGTTGACCCAGGTGGTTTTAACGAGTAATTTTGAAACCATATGGATACATCCAGATATATAACTTTGGCTGCCTAAATCCCGATCGTAGCTACTACCTTGATGGGGTGGTGGGGCTTGCTTATCGTGATGACCCAACCGAACTATATTGGCTGAAACACATGTTCCTGTAGGTTCTACCATGCCAGGCAGGTCGATTGGAGAACGGTAAGACTAAAAGCAGCAACTCAAGGTCTGAGGGCGAAGTCGTACTGCTGACTGTAGAGGGGTGTGACAGCAGTAAGGTGATTCCCTCGGACAACCAGCATGACAGCGATGCTGCCTTCCCACAAGGAGGGGTGGGGTTAGAAAAGGTCGACCCTAAAAATGTCACACCTCACCTTACCTCGCGGATTTCCGTCTCCGGCGGTTAGGCCCTTTGAAGAACGGAGCTAACACGTTAAAAACTTTCCACGAAAAGGCCGTGCTGACCGGCCTCGAACAGTTGTCCCTTGGGCTCTGCGGTCACGCTCCCAGGTCGTTAAGTCATTAAGGAAAAGTAACACACATCTGCTGTATGCTTGTCATAATATTTCACATATTGGAGGGAGATATTTGTTGTTTTGTTTGAATCCTCCAAACAAACCAAAAGCGCATGCGAATAATCATGTCCAACTATGAAACTGAGTTCAGTTTTTATGAAGTTTCAAGTAAATATATAAAAACCTTAAGGGATTGTATTGAATATTGTTTTGTGCCTAGCTTTGTTATTCTTATTTGTCTTCCTTCTAGGTATACCACCCTTGAACGGATTAAGAGGTAGTATAGTTGGGTCACATCTAAAGCTGTTCATAAGTTCCTTCTGCACAATTGATTTCTCATGTGGCAATATCCCGTTTGGTTGTTTGCGATTTTTCATCTTAGCAAGTCTTATGGTTACGTTATTGAAGGTACTGTTGTAATGCCTCCTGAAGCTCCTCCAGACTGGCATGTCAACACACGAATTAACATAGCTGGAGATCAGTTCGTTGGTTTTGTGAAAGCAGATGGTAACTTCGAAGTAACTAATGTCCCATCTGGATCATATATAGTTGAAGTCATAAATCCCGTCTATTATTTCCAGGTGAGTACTAACGGAATAATTCCACATATGGCCTAAAGATATAAATGGTAATAATAATAGTTCAAGATTTAGCTCAGAAAGTTTTGAATTTCCCAATATTCGTCCCACTACAACAAGTAGTATTCACAAACAGCGGAGACAGATGGTTAACCTGGATGACTGCAATAGGCTGAGCATCATTCTTGCAAATCCCCAGCATTAATAATATTATAACGTTGGCACAGGCCTAATCGTATGACACATTCATTCAATAATCGAACCATTCAAATGTAAACCAGATATCAGTAAGAATATAAATTCTATTAACACAAGGCTCAATTAGTATTCGTTAATATTACAGTATATATAGTTACTTCTGTGCGATATATCAGTTGCATCTGTTTGTGCTCCTTTACCAGTCACGAGCTACTTTGGTTGGATATTAAGAAATTTCTTAAGACATCAACAACCAATTCTTGGTGTTGAGAAATTTCATTGTTGACTTTACAGAATAATAAATAAAATCATATTTCACTACATAAAATGTAACAAAAGGTTGTAAAAATAGAAGGAGAATTGTTATGGTAATACTTACAGAACTGACTGAAATATTGATAACTACTGCGAAAATCTTATTTTAAGAACTGTTAAACAGTCATTCAGTTACAACGCGAAACATGGTACATCGATTCAGGTTGTCATACTTCACTAGCGCAGAGATGAAGTTGTTGGGCCAAACCCCAGAATGGGGGAAAGCCACAGTATCAGTGGTAATAGGAAAGACTAGACATCGATGATACAATTCGAGGAGAAAATATAAATCGATGAGATAAAAAAGATATAAAAACTCTGTGAGGAATTTAAGATCTCAGAATTCGGGGAATGCAAAGAACGTGTGTATGAGCGCTATTATAAACGATTTTGAGTTGTCACGATAACCACGTGAACTCTAGCCATACATTTAAATAACAGCAGTTGTTAACTAATAGTAACTTTTGTTGATTGACTTCCATTGATTATTTTGTCCTTTAAGCAGTCCATCCATTTTAGGATGAATTTTTCCATGAATTCTTCTTTTAGTCTTCGTTTATCGTTAGTAATAGTCGATAATTCTACAGATTGCCTACGTAATAAATGAACTACATTTTTACAAAAGTAAAGCAGTGTTAACTTATCCTGTTGTCTTAATTTCTAGGGTGTTCGGGTCGACATAAGTTCTAAAGGCCGTATTCGGGCGCGTCAGCTAAATGCACCACAGCCCAATGCTGTGAAAGAACTCCCGTATCCCTTACGTCTTTCCAGTTCTGGAAGAGCAGTCTACTTCAAGGTTAGTAATCCTGTTCTACTGCAGCTGTATTACTTGTCTTAAAGTTTATGAATTGAAAATAATTGGTTATCTCCTCCAAGTTATCACAATTGATTGACCACTGGGTGGAGATCACTGTCATCCTTGTCTAGTCCTTATTAGTGCAGATCGAATGCTATCGATCATGTTGCAATGTGGCCACCAGTTTAGGTGACTCGACACTGCGGGCACTATATATTGAGATTTAGATGTTGGTTGGAGGTAGTCAACAGGAAACCCTGGACCCGGGTTTCGTGCTACTTGGCACTCGTCAGCAAGGTGTGCCTGTAATCTTGAGGGAACTGGTGCTCCCTGGCGGATTTGATCTCGTGTCACCCATCTTCACAGTCAGAGACGTTACCACTGAGCTATCCCAGCCGCGACTGACCTCCTGTAGGACTGAGATGTAATCACAATTGATTGATCACTGGGTGACACGAGATCGAATCCGCCAGGGAGCACCAGTTCCCTCAAGATTACAGGTACACCTTACTGACGAGTGCCAAGTAGCACGAAACCCGGGTCCAGGGTTTCCTGTTGAACGAAAGCTTTTATATCTTAAAAATAAATCATGTAAACACAATTATCGGTCGTATTCATTGAAAATAGCCCTAAAATACAAAGGAACATTTTGCTAAAAGAAATAAATGCGCGAAATTTTGATAATATGATGAATCATAGTAATGACCATAGTACAATTTTTTGAAGTAATCTGAACGAGAACTGTAAATAAAAATCAATCAATCAAACGTCATATTGACCAATGGACCTTACTTTTGTCATAGATCACACTTTCATGTTACAGTTTCCTTTAATCACATTCTAATAACAACAACTAGTTAATGAGGATGGAGTTAAATAATTATTAAGTTGTTTTTTGTTTGTTTAATTGTTATTTAACATATTGGCTAGAAAAGATTCATCATTTTCCTAGATGCATCGAAAAATGAAATAATGAAGCGGAAACTAATAGAGTCATCAGAACTGAGTTTTACTGTTGTAGTATTTTACTAGTTGTGAGTAATAATTCTCAACAAATAAGTAATTCTATTTTAGTTTAAAGCGGAATCAGCGAATGGTAGTTTAATCACTTGATTTGGTTCAACTCTCTCTCTCCCTCTCTAATATATAATACCATTTCTGGTTGGCGGCAGCCTGTGGTCCTCCTCGAGGGGAACTGACGTAAGTGATGTGGTACGAATGTACTACTGAGCATAACAGTGAATTTTCGACTTGTAAAAACTGTCAAAGTTACCTCTCTCAAGACCAAACAAATGTATTGTTAAAGAGACAAATTAGATAAAACAATGCCAGAAATATGAACAAGTTTAGATTTGGTACAGAAATATCAAATATGACAATACTATTTGATAAATGCTTGTTTTTGTAACCGTATATTTTAGATTGAGTAGTAAGTAAATGTGTTATTTACAGTCTATCTATCTATTTTTGCCAATTTATTTATGTGGAATAGTGGACTAGTGATTAAGGTGTTCGAATTTCATCCACTAAGTCCTAGGTTTAAACTCCTGTCCACCTACCACGGTTTAGACAACCATGTAGTGTCATTAGCCTACACACTTAGGGTGTGGTTCATACCCGAATAACTTAGTGATTGAATTTATTGAAATTATAAAAATTTGCTTGCATATTTCTAGTATCATATTAAACTGGTTAGATAATAAGAAATTTGTATTTTAGCACAATAAATGTTTACCATGATATAAAATGCTTCAATTAGTCATTACTTTGTAATCGGAGTAGTCTTTTTTCATGTGAGGTTGTTAGGATATTTCCAACATGAATGTTATGATTGTTGGAATATATAGGACGGATAGCTATTGTTTCTTCTTGAGTTTCAAATTCCTAAACTGTATAGTAGTTATTGGGGGATTATGTTTTTTCTAGTATGAATGAAAACTCCAAATTTAAGTTGATACAACTTAATCTATAGATGTAGTTTTGTATTTTCTTATTTAACAGTCAACATAATATTCAATTCACTTGGTATTGTTATTGCTTGAATGTTCCCATTGAGGTTTAAGACTGCAATTTATCAGTCTATTGTTGGCATATGTGCATACTGTGCGTGTTACCTCGATATTGCCTTAATTCACAAGATAGCCACTATCCATCTTTGCTTATAATATTCAATTGATTGAAATCTTATACGTGATATATTTTTTTCTTTGTTTTACTTATTAATTTTTCTATTCTAAATATTTGAATTTTCTCCCTACTATCTTCATTCATTTAATAAGGCACGTGAACAACTACGTACCTTAGATCTATTATTCAATCCAAATGTTCTTTATGTGCTAGTTCCGTTATTACTGGTTGTGATATTGACAAAACTAGTGAATACTAATGATCCTACTGTACAAAAAGAAATGCAACAAATGAATATTCTTAATCCACAACAACAATTACCTGATATGAGTGAAGTAAGTTATTTTTTCTTTTCTTGGTATAGAAAATAATGAACATGATATATGTAGTGTGATTAGTCAGTGTAAATATCTTAGTTTTACATTAGGTCACTCACGGCCAAAATAGCTCAGTGGTAACGTCTCCAGTCTGTAAAACTGCGTGATGGGTTTGGAATATTAAAGGGAACGTCAGTTTCCTTAAGATTGCAGACACGCCTTGCTGACGAGTATCAAGTAGCTAGGGACCTAGGTCTAAAGTTTCCTGCAGACTTCTTCATCCATCTAACAAACTGATGTGTGATGATAGATGCTCTTCTTAAGAAATAAATGCTACATTCATGTAATTTCTATTATAAACTAACACCAATTGAAGGAAACTATCGACAACATAGGACAGATCGCTGGACTGTTGTTTTGTATTCGAAAATCCTCATTATCAGTGCTTAAACTGAGAAAGAATTCAAAACACTAACGTGCTTGTCACGAGATCCAGGAATTTCTTACCACAAAACAAAACGTATTCTGTTTTATTTTTGAGATAATCTTTATCGCATGGCATCGTTTCGTGATTGCTAGCTAATTGCTTCATACTCGAATCGGAATACACTAATTAATCCATCTTCGTGCAATCAGCGCTGGTCGGCAGGGATTTATATACAGATTTTGTATCGACTAATTTTTTTCACTACTGTATCTTTGTTCAATTTATTAGAATGCATGTTGTTCGCTCTCAATTGCCCCCAAATGCCCTGGTATGGCCGAGAGCGGGGCGAGTCCGCCCTCCCTCTCGAAATGCTTTCATATGGCCACGCGTATACAGCCTCTGCCAGGGAAGTCCTACTCACTGCCTTCTCGTGGCATAACTGTTGTTCATGAAAATGAGAGGACGAAAAGCGAATGTCCGGTGCTTTAACCGGATCCCAAACCATTGATGCACATGGGCTCCAGTATCCTGCGGGAACAAATGGCGTATGAACCAATCGTTAGTCACCGGCTACCATATGGTAGCCCATATAGGACTGCATCTCCTCACGATGCTCCACTGCCTTGTGGGTCATACCTTTGGGTCAAAGGCTCGGGGTGTGGCCCCCTAAGATAACCAACTCCTTCGGTCTGGGCACCCGGGCAGTATCACAGCCCACACAAAATATAATGATAATGATCGTATTTACTGAAAATTCTATTCACGCTTCGATTAACAGTCAAACAATTCACATTAGTATTATCTTTATTTACGACGTCACTTATTCACTCACTTTTATTCCCACTTTATGTGTCCTTATTTTTCGATTTATACAGCAGCTCTCCTATGGTGGAAACTCGACTGTATCTAAACATTCTCGAGTCACTGCCTGGTTGAAAATTGAATGCTACCACCGAATACGAATACTAAAACAGCTTTTCTGAAACCACGTGCGCCATTCAAGCTGTCTGCCTTCAACGTTCGCACACTAATGCAGCTCGAACAACAGATAGGGATGGCTATGTCTTTAGAAAGTCTTAATATCAACGTTTGTTATCTATCCGAGACCCGTATTCAAGACTCCGGTGAAGTACTACAAATTCACTCTTCATCTGTCGCTTCGAAAAGCTTGTTTTACGCGCGCTTATCCGGGGACCCTGTGGCATCTTCGTCTGGTCTTGCTGGCGTTGGTGTCACACTAAGCGCTAGAGCTGAGGCTGCACTAATCGATTGGATCCCCATTAACAGTCGGTTATGTGCTGTTAGATTAGAGAGTTCCATCAAAGTGAGAAAAAATCAGTGTGAGAAACGATGTCTTTTCGTCATCTCCGCCTATGCCCCGACAGATTGCAGCCCGGATGCAATCAAGGATGAGTTTTACCACCAGTTATCTGTTCTCCAGAAAGTGCGTTCGACAGATATTGTAGTACTAACCGGAGACTTAAATGCTCAGGTCGGGCGTCTAGACACAGAAGAGAGTCGTTTAGGTGACCAATGGGGACTTGTTGGTCACAGGACAGATAACGGGGACCGCCTACCGCAACTGTGCACAGACCACAACCTGTTTCTGGCTAGCACTAACTTTCGGCACAGTCATTGCCGATGTGACACCTGGCGTCCTCCCTCTGCATCTCAAGCCTGAACTCAGATTGATCACATCGCGATCAGCTACCGCTGGCTTGGTTGTGTACAAGACTGCTGCTCCTTCTGGAGTACCTATCTGGACTATGACCATGCTTTGGTCTGCGCCAATCTTACCTTATTTTTCAGTGGCCAACGAAGTGACCGCCATCAACGGGTTGATATTAGCAAGCTGGTTGCAACTTCTCTTGCTAGTAAGTATCCAATCGAGCTAGCTTCTAGGCTAGCTACCATTCCACCGAAAAGTATAGATGAGCATTGGTTACAATTGCATGACGCCATGAAAATGGCGGTTACAGTCACTTGTGGGTTCGCGAAATGTCCCGCATATAAGCACTGGGTTTCTTCAGGTTCCTTGCAGCTCATTGAAGCCCGTCGGTCTACTCCGGGTGACCGTGAGTTTGACCACAAACGAAGGATGTTACGTAAGGAAATTGGGCAAAGCTTGCGTAAGGACCGAGAAGCCTGGCGGTCGGAGCGTGCTAATGAGTTGGAAGCAGCAGCTGCATCCGGCAATTACCGGAAGCTCTTCCAATCCATCCGAACCACTGGCAGCAAGAAGTCTAGTATGAGCGAAACAATCTACGAGGATGATGGGATGCCAATCACTAACATCCATTGACGTCTTGGACGATGGGCAGTTCAACTGGCCTGCTGCTCGGACAACATCGGTCAGACTGTCCTGCCCTCCATGGCCGGTGACGATTGATCCACCAAATGAGGCGGAAGTCCGCAAGGAACGCCAACTCTTGAAGCACTACAAATCACTTGGCCCAAATGACTTACCTCCAGCTCTTTTTAAAGATGGTGGTGACTTTTTGACTAAGGAACTGACGACGTTGTTTACAAAGGTCTGGGAGCTAGAGAGTGTACCAACGTCATGGAATGAGTCGATAGTTGTCCCTATCTTTAAAAAGGGTTCACGTCGTTCCTGTAACAACTATCGAGGGATAAGTTTACTTCCGATTGCGTCCAAGCTATTGGCTTCCGTCATACTTCGTAGGTTGTTCAAAACCCGAGAAAGATTGACTCGCGAGGAGCAGGCTGGTTTCGTTCCAGTCGAGGATGTATTGATCATATCTTCACCCTTCACCAAATGTTAGAACACCGTCATACTTACCAAAGGCCAACAATCGTAGTGTTTCTTGACATCAGGGCTGCCTTCGATTCGTTGGATAGGACTGTTCTCTGGGATTGTCTATTGAAGAAGGATGTACCTGAGAAGTTTATTAACATCCTAAAAGCCCTATATAAAAACACCTGAGGCAGAGTGAGGGCATACAACCACCTCTCTCCATTGTTCCATTCGGACAGTGGGGTTAGACAGGGTTGCCAAATCTCGCCATTCCTCTTCAACTTTGCCATCGATGACATTCTGGAAACAGCTCTGACGGATGTAAGTAATGGTGGTGTGGATCTGTTGCCTGGAGAAAGACTTCTCGACCTTGAGTATGCGGATGATATTGTCTTACTGTGCGATAATGCCCAGGGCATGCAATCCGCACTTAATCAGTTGGCAATCAGTGTCCGTAGGTATGGTATGTGCTTTGCACCTTCAAAGTGCAAAGTACTTCTACAAGACTGTCAGGATCCTAATCCTGTACTCACCCTGGACGGTGAGCAGATAGAAGTAGTCGAGAAGTTCGTGTATCTGGGTAGCTGCATAAGTGCTGGTGGGTGTGTGAGTGATGAAATCAGTGCACGTATAGTGAGAACCAGAGCGGCTTATGCCAATCTGGGTCATCTTTGGCGCCTTCGTGATGTTAGTCTGGCTGTAAAAGGTCGGATCTACAACGCGTCGGTGAGAGCAGTTTTGCTCTATGCTTGTGAAACCTGGCGTCTCCGAGTTGAGGACCATTTTGGAACAACGACTTCAGTGGCTTGGACATGTTCTCCGAATGTCGTCCCAGAGAATTGCACGTCGTGCATTGTTTGCCGTCTCTGGGACTGGTTGGAAAAAGCGGAGAGGTGGTCAGTATATGACATGGTGTCGTAGCATGAAAGAAAGCTGCAAAGGGCTAGCCTGTGTTGGTCCTTCACGACTCCCTGGCTGGGGTCCTAGAGATGGTACAATACAGTGGCTAGAGTCCGAAATTCTAATCTTCTGAATTCTTCATGTCCTTTTTTCCTCTTTCCAAATCTATTTCACTGGATTATACTCCTTGAATAACATCTCCAAACCCTAGTCTTCCCGATTACTGCTTATACTCTTATTACCTTTACCACTACGGGATTTGAATCGACAACTGAATCTCTGTGCTAATGTGGTGTGGCAACTCGAACTGATGTACGTACGTACGAAGTTCTACGTTGTTACTGACTGACAGTGGCTAGAGACGTTATCAGATATGGCTCAGAATAGAAGCCAGTGGCGATCCTGGTGTAACCTTCTTTTACTTTCTTCATAAAAAGTGGTTGTGTCTTCCTTAACTGGAAGATTTCTTCTGATTGTACCTTTCCATCCCCCCATTTTTACCATTATTATTATTATCATTACACCACCTTACATCAGTCCCTTCGTTATTATTCTCTTATTTTTCCTTTCCCTTAAATTCCCATTGTTTTGTGTGGCGCTTTCTTGTGCCAATATTTATGTGTTCAGATAAATAATAATAGAATAATCTCAATTCCTGATTTGCGTAGACCCGAATGAATGATCGTGGTCAGGAAATATTAAGTAGTTGAAGAGAATAATAGTGGCAGTATAAACTACTTCTTAACTATGGATAATCTTTCGGGAACTTAATGTTAATAATAATAATAATAACGCATTGTTCGCTGTTTACTAGATTCAAGATAGATCCTCGTTAGATTTTTACACTATCGAGCGAGCGTTTGCTCGCAATACCAAATGTCCTACGTTCACTTCCCGTTTGTTGGGTCATGGATATGCACTAGAAAGAAATGGCTGTTCAGTGCTCATAAGTTTTCAATGGTGATCTAATGTTGATCATTTCGTTCTTCCAATGAAATTCAAGCTGGATTTCTCAAATTTTTTATTAAAAGTTTTTATCTGTAGATTTAACTAAGTTGTGGCAGTGAGGAATTATCAATGATAATATAGACGGAGGATCACATTGCATATCACATATTCCTTAATTAAAAGCAAACCAATTAAACAATTTCAAATTAAATAGAGCAAGAACAAACATTGATGCAGAATAGTATGAATTCATATTATTTCGAGGTTTCTCGTCAGCTGCTTACAAACCAAAATTGTGATAGAATTTTTACATGGAGATAGTGTGAAACAATTGACATAAATGAGTGTAAATAACAATTTCATTAATCCTATCTCAAATAAACTTGTCTCATTTTTATTTGGTTAGCACGCTTTTAAGCTATTCCAATCCGTATCTTTTGTAGTTGTGCTATAATAAGTACGGTATATCACCAGTGATAGTAAGATGTGTTCGGACATTGGGCGATGATAGACGGACACTCCGTTTGCTAACTATTTAACATACGGTTTCCTTCTTATTACTAGTTGCTACTTCGAATTTCACTGAGTGTAGTCTGCCGTCAGTTGTGTTGAGTAAAGAGTTGTATGGACTATACTCGGGTTCTCTACATTTAGTCGTGAGTCCTTTATCCTCCATAACATTTGATTCCAGTCTGTTTGTAGAGTATCATTTGAGTATCTATTCTAGTGATCTAACAATCTCGCGCCAGGTCGTATCATATCGTAGCAGAACAGAAAACATTTTTAGTTTATCGTCATATCACAATGCTTTGTCATATTTTTACTACCTTTTTTATTGGGTAATTCTATTTTATTCATTTCTCAGTTCCTTTCGTCACTGTCTTTATTCGGTGGAAATACTAAAAAGACCACTTCAACAACAATAAATAAACGAAAATCTTCAGAAAAGCATCGCCAAATTACGAATAGTGCAGGGATTTCTGAGAGTTCAAATCAATACACCACCGTCGGTAACACTAGTAGTCCCACTTCCAGTTCATCGAATGCATCATCAAAAAGAACAACAACAAAGGCAAGAAAAGCCGAATAAACAAGCCGATATATATATGATATATTACAAAGTAATCGATTTACCAAAATTATTTTTTATTTGTATTTGAATGAATGAAGAAAATGACTAACTTTCACTTGCTCATCTATTTTGTTTTCCTTCCTTTCAATGTTTATCTTGCAATAATGAATGTATTCATTATTCGAAGTTTTTTTTAGCCAGTGTGGTTGATTTTTCGAATTTACTTCCCATTTCATAGTCGTTCCAAAATATTACTTAAATATTCGTTTTCTTTTAATAAACAAGATCACAGTTAAGCACAATATGCTGGTTAATGTAGTACGTGCATGTGTATTTGTAAATTTATGTGCTCTAGTAAATTAAAACTCGTTTTATTTTTCAATAATTGTTGCGTTAATCACTTAATCTGGTTTCTGTTCAAGTAGTGACCAGTATCAGCTGCCGTTGGACGCACTTGATTGAAGACCGTCGTTTCTTTTGGCGTACATGTTTATTCTCAATAATACTTTGGTGTCTAACTAGAACTTGTGAGGAGCGAATCCGAGAAAATCATTCTGGATTGAAACCTGGACGTGGGTGTGTAGAGAAAATATTCACATTTCGGCAGATTATGGAACATGAACATACTTCTCGACATCTGACTGTACTTTCATTCCTTGACCTCAAGATGGCATTCGCTTATGTTGGTCGTGAGGTTTCGTGACAGTGTCTGTTATTAAAAGGCATAACGAAGAAGTACATCAACATTGTGTCGGCTCTCTACTCGAACACTACTGGTCGAATAAGAGTTTGGGGTGAACCGTTTTCGGAATTGGTATTGCTTACATCAAGCCGTGTTCGTCAGGGTTGACCGCTTTTTCAATTCTTACTAAACTTTGTCATAAACATGCTTTTAGAGATAACGCTCTTTGGTGAAGACGCTCACAAAGAGCAGTCTTTTGGCCACCTATAAGCAACAAGTCAAGCATTTTTGGGATGCGGCTCTCCCCTCCAAATGTAAAATGCTACTTCAGAGTTGGCTTGGGTCATTGCGTGAGATAATTATAGGGAGAAAAGTAGTTGAACGCATTGACCACCTCACTTATCTTCGAATTCTCATCAGTACTTTTGTCTAACGGAATCTCGACGCGGATTCAGTCTGAGTACAGACGCTTTCATAATGGCTTTAACACGTTTCATATGAAGGAGAGAGACTCCAAAAGAAATCTACAGTGATGACGAAACTAACTGTGTTGGAACATCTTATGGATTACGAAATAGTATGAGCGTACGGAAAAAGCACTGAATAGACGATTTCACATTCATAATGTAGATGCCTAGATATTTCGACCCTCAACCGTCCAACCGTCGAGATCCTCCTCGAAGGGTCCTTCTGGCCATTTTTGACGATTATGTTTAAGACGATGACAGTTTATTAGCCCACTTTGTAGAAATGGACAGAACTTTAAATAACCGCCCCATCTTTTCTGCGACATCGTACGAGAACATTGGTTTAGCACTTGCGTCTAACACCCTGCTGCTACTTAAAGATTGTGGTGGTTTTGGGATGAAGTTCAGTACTGCGGATGGGCATTCTTAAATTTTATAGATTTGGAATAGATGGTTCACGGAGATGAGTACTTCACAATTTATAATTAAATTACATTGATCCTTTTAATATTTTTTAAATGCAGAAACCAATGTCCTTGTATAATTACCCTGACATGAACTTGGCTGAAATGTAGGCAGAAAACGACCATGTTTGCTATCCGAAGTTGGTGTTATTGGACACTAAGGTTCAATCCATTGCAAAGTGAGGGTGTTTTAACTGAAAATGTCTATAAATAAGTTATACACAGTTATAAACGTTGCAATCAGAGTTCGCCTCGATGTCCATTAGCATTAACTTAGCTGCTGAGCAAGTAATATTTGGGATTTAAATCTGTCTTAAATTCATAAAATGTCATGCTGTACTGCAGAGCATGTCGTCAATAACACCGAACTATTGTGCCAACGTTATTTAGCTCATGTTTAAGTCTGGGTCTAATAGGCATGATCATACACGAAAAATTGACTATGAACTACCAAGTTTGCATTTTGTTCTTTGACAAGGGGCTGAGAACTTTGGAAACATGGCTTCAGAAAGGGAACGCAAAAAGGCCTTCCGTCCTTACCAAACTAAAACTGAAACCTTTGTATTATGAGTTGGGCTAGTGTTGTGAGTTAGGAACATCACAACACAGAGTTCTTATCACTGATTGACATCAATTATAATGCCAGCCGTAATGTGTTCTTCAGAAGTGCTAAAATGCCTGTTGCTGACTGTCATGATGGAACGAATCGGCATATTAAGTGATGTGAATTTTACCAACGGATTTGTTCGTCATCTCATTAGAAGTTTACAGTTGTAAATAGATCGACTATTCTACTAGCGAAGATAAATGTACTTCATACTAACCTATACCATAAATCTGCATTCTTACTGCACATGAAATTTCAGGCAAAATTCATAATGAGTTAAGTTGATTATGATTTGCTATCTGGAAGCCATCATATAACTTTATTTTCGCAAAATAATATCACATATATTGATGGTTGTTTGAACTTTCGTTTAGATAGAATTATTTGGGTAGTAGGATACTTAGATACAAATAAAGGTATCGTCAAAGACAGATCGGGTTCGTTAAAAACTCCATAAACCGTTTGTAACGTTTAGAATTTGGTCGCTTTGCATCAAGCCTGAAGGTAATTTCTGTGCTGAAGGAGTGTGGGGAGCAGTATGTGGACGAATCTGAAATCGAAAAGAACTGGTGGAAAGTGGACTGAAAATTTAGTTTCTACGCTTATTGATAAAAGCGATCCATAATAACCAGAAGTGACACAGGCATGAGATTCAGAAAATATTATTGTCGACACTAATAGTCGATAGTGCAAGTTTTTGAATGAGTGACATATCAGTGAGTTAGATATCAAATTTCAAAGCAGAGTAATCTAGATTCAATATTAACACATAAAATAATCTAAGTTGTTCATAACTACAGCTGGCTAATGACGTAACGAGCGCCGATAATTTCATAAATAATTCCACCAATAAATGATCAGTATCTAAATTTAAAAAATATATCAAAATCTTATACATCCTGTTATCTAGATGTTAAATCTATCGTCATTAGTTTGTCTCTAATTCCGGATAATGAAGTGATTACAATTCCCAGTGTTAGGTTGGTACATTATTATAACTGATTCGAACAAAATACTCACTTGTTTGATACAAGACTTACATTTTAAATTAAAAATGTTGGACAACTACCCTGCAAAGAGTTTTACACCAAGATTTTCAACGAAGCGCCCTGTTACAATCTATCATTGTAGTATAAGTCCTTCTGGGTTGGAAGATTCATTTTTACCAGGATTATGGTAGCAAACAGATAAATAAATAGATTAATAAATCCAAAATCTCTTAATGCAGGTAGACTACAATAAACGTTTTTTTAACATTTGATAACCGCTTAGAGGTTGAAAGATAGATGACCTAAAGTAGCCTCTTTTTTCTGTATCTATTAATCCAACTGCTCGTGTAGAGCAAGTTATTTTGTCATAAATTGTAGGAATTTTTATATTCGGGCTCGTATGCACCTCCCAGTGTGATTGAGCAAAAATGTAGTTAAAACCGTTAATAGCTCCATTCGAGCTAATTTTATTCGAACGGGACACACAGTCAACATGGATTAATCTTTCATAATATATCTTATTAACGACAGTCTCTCTAAGGCTGTCAGACTGAGAATCCTGCAGGTGGCTGAATAAATTCTATTCGGATCAAATAGCCAGAGCTGAGTCCAGGAGAAATACGTTCAACTGCTCATTTTAGCCTGGCCAACTTCGGGCCTAATTAGTTAATAATCAATTTTGTGGTGTGGTGACATAAATTTAGTAATGTTCATTTTTATATCCGTATCTTATCCACGCATCTTACGATTTTCATTATTATAATTATATTGTTATTATTACATTCGCTAACATTTTTGAGAAATTTATTCATCATTCACTTCTATCTACTAATTCTTAACTAAGTCACAATATTATTTACATATTACTTCATTTGTTACCCGTTATTACACTATTGTTTCGCACCTCATGTTGAGGATATCTATTCTGATCATTTATTTAACAATTTCATTTGACGTAAATGCTTGTTCAAGTTAACACTTTATATTAGACACACAAACGTTGACGATTTTATTTCATATGAAGAAATCCCCAACTCACATGTTAAAATTTCAAATGATGCACTCTGCCTTAAACCTGGTCAATTTTATGGATTTTTAATTTGGATTTCATACTTGTAGAGGCTGATGAGAAATCGTTGAAAAGAATATTCTTCGTTCATGTGATTCGTTTGCAATTTGTTATGCAATTTCTGACTTATCTAAAAGACTTCTTTTGATATTGGGATGTGATGTAATCGTTCCTTACATTTCGGTTAGTTGAAGACTATATTTTTAATTCGTAATATTATTTGCATTTTCACACGTCGAAGTGTGTAACTGGCTGAGGAGTAAACCCTTCAATGAATTTTAAATATATAATGGTTTGCGTCTAGTTCTAAGGTAGATACGTTTTATACTGTATGGAGTATAAAGACGTCTGATAAGAAGAAGGGAAAGACGAAAATACGCAAACGGTTCAGTTTGTAGGTTGTGTGAAGTTAACATTGATACCAATTGATAAAAATAAACAATAACAGGTGTGAGATTACAACAATGTCATACTGTAAATAATGTTAGGGAGAGTATTTTTCAACGTCACCATCGACTTATTAGTCTAGTCGGCTCGCCTAGTTTACTGGTCA